CCCGAACAGAAATGTGATCAAAGTGCTTGGTATTGAGTTGCTTCAAATTTCCTTTGAGCCTCTGTAACTTTTTACACAGAGTAAACTGCTTCGTGCCATTGATCTACTGGTTCCAATTGGAAGATACTACATTTTGATATTCTGAAAGAGATGTACACATATTGAAGAATTTAAAATGTTTGCTTATATTCCCACCTTTCTGTAAAAGTGAAACAATGCATAGCGAGTGATCTGAGAGACAACCAACTGGTTGGAAATTTGTTAAGGCATGAAATCCAGCTTGCTACCACACTTCATTAACCATATCTCTATCGATCTTACGCCAAACCGAAGATATGCTATCCATGGAGTTTTTGGACCAAGTATAATAGCATCTAATGGATCTCAAGTCTGTAAGATCTGCAGTCGAACAACAATCTGCGAAGTCCCTAGTCTCATATGGAGTTACCTCCACTTCATTGCATCTTTCCTCGGATTGAAGTACATTATTAAAGTCACCCACAACCGTCCAAGGTATTGAACATGTATCTCAAAAATCAATCAAGTTACTCCATAAAGTCCTCCGAGTAATAATAGAATGGAAACCATAAACAAAACTTAAATAGAATGTGACAGAAGTTACCTTGCAGGTTACTTCGCAATGTATAACATGTGGGGCATCTTCCAAGAAACAAAGGTCCACTTTTGTATGGTCCTATAAAACCAAGATCCTTCCTGCCGAATGTGAAAGAAAGTCATCGATCTGTCTCCACCCACCGAATTTGTTCTTCATGATCCGATAGGGCTGGACAAAACTCCCGAACCGAATCTAAACCCAAATCGAGAGGTTCTTCATAAGTTAAATACCCGAACGGGTATCTAAATCGAGAACCGATGGGTTTGGTTTGGTTTTAGACCAAGAGCTAAAGAACCGAATTTAAATAATATTTTAGTTTTTTATATTGAATTAATTAAATTATTTTATTTTTTCCTAAACAAATTAGAAAATTAACTAATTTAGTTGAACATAATTTCGTAACAGGTTTTCCTTTAAGCTTATCATTGCTTATTGTCTTTGATGTTGGAACTTCAAGAACTACATTTATGTCATGTAAGACGGGTGTTTCAATTCTTGCTACTGACTTCTTTACATGCACACTTGGAATAGGATGTGGAGTAATTCACCTTAACATCCGACCTTTACTTGTAAGTACTGGTCTATTTTTCTTGCCCACCTCTATAAAAGGGGCATCATCTTTATTTAGTACTAGTTGGGCACCTAGTTTTGTATTGGCTTGGCTAATGGATTCTGCTTGTCCAGATTGACTAACATTCTGTTCAATCAGATCTGTTGTTATTATAGCCATTTTCAGCATATAGTTCTATTCGATTGTTGCCTTGCTTTAGTTACCATCAATGTTCTAACCGTCATTAGCTGACTGGCCTGAACCCCCAGCAATGTTTTGATCATCGCTATTTTAGTCATAACCAGTACACAGTTATGTTCGATTGCTGTCTTGCTTAAGTTACCATCAATGTTCTGACTGTCATTAGCTAACTGATGTGAACCATCACCAATGTTCTGGTCGTGTACATCATTCTGTATCCCCATTTTCTTTGCCACATACTTAGGAAGAATAGCATGCTTATGGTTAGCGGGCACATATTTTCCTTTAATGCATCTTTTTTGTGCCCAAAACTCTTGCAAGTGGACAGAATTTCGGCTTATGCTCATAGGAAACCAGCCGATCCCTCACTTTACCACTTGGAAGTTTCATCTTAGCCGAATGAACCAGATCTTTTAAGGCATCAACCTCAACAAGAATTCATGCAAATGATAGTCGTCCCTTTGTTGTTGTGAGCAAATCAATCGTAATCGGTTTACCAATCTTTGTTACAATCATACTTAGGGAGTTGGGTGTCCAAAAATTTAATGGCAACCCCGGTAACGTTATCCAAACTGGTAAAGTGCTAATATCACCATCATCAAACTCAAAAAATGATGGTACATTTTTCAACGTCAACGTTCTACCATATACAAAATATGGATCTCCTTCAAGCACTTGAGTTTCATCATCGGAATTCTCGAATTTGAACACGATCCATCCACTTTGATGTACAAAGTATTGGTCCTTGATTCCCCATTGATCAAACATTTGCAAGAGGGCTATTTTACTCAGGAATCGTCCAGCAAAGTACCCTACCAAACAGTAGCCCCATGCTGTTTGACCGTTATCAATGTCATCTTCACCGAAAACCAATATTTCTGGTATGTTTTCGCAGGTTTTGAGCTTGAATCCATTTTTGTACTTATGATTTTCCTTAAATAAACTGGCCAACGGAGCTTTGATTGCATCAGATTTGTTTTCTTGAACAATAGTATTAACCTGATGCACTGAATTAGAGCCTTCCTCCGATGCTATATCCTCGTCACCAAATGTTTGGGACACACTTGGTGATTTTGAATTAGCATGGTAAAATTCCTCCCAGAAGGTCTTAGTAGAATCCACAGATTTGGATGAAGACTTTCCATCATTATTTCCTTGTGCTAGAAATTCGTTTGACTTGGATCTAGGCACAATTGGTAAATCTCCAGAATTTTTACCAAGTGATGGAAATTCGGCTTGAATTAAGACATCCAACCCACTATTGGGCTCCTTACCAAGTATAGTATTTGATAACTGACCATCCTAATTGGATGCCTTTCCAAGTATAGGATTTGGTA